TAAGAAATCAGGAAGGGGGCAAACACTTTTTCACACAACTGTATATGAAACTGATCGGCCGATCAGTTGACAACAATCAACTGACATTCTCAAAGCTCTTCAAAGTTTTCCATTTTCTCCTCTCATCTGTGTTTGGTTAGTGAGAAAACGTTGGATGTGCACGGAAAGGCAAAACCATGCTGTACTGAACCCCTCCATCATAACATTTCAGGCTAAAAGAATGGCATTGGGGTGTTTGTTACTGCTGTCAAATGTCAAAGCGGGTCAAAATTGACCCGAACAGTATGTAAGGGTTAAGAGATTCTTTTCTGATTCAGCTAGTTTGTATCCGTGCCATCGTGGAGGTCCTGAATTGAAAGGGTGTTTCCTGTCTCTCTCTACAGATACAAGCCCTTCTTCCCGTTCCAAGTGCAGCCTCTGCTGGGTTTGGCTTGTGATTTGGACCTGTCCGTCCAGGACAGCAGGCTGGTGGAAGGCCGACTCAAAGTCACCCTCAATGAATGTAGCAGGTGAGACCTCCCACACACTGAATGTATCGGGGCACCGCTGTCCACATACCGATATGTGTTTTAGTCTGGGGCCCCTTTGTTCCAGTTTGGGAAAATGAAATGCTACATCACACTGTGATATTTTAGACAATAGTTTACTTACGATTTTGCCTTTTTACTGTTTCAAAATGACAATCCCCCCCCCCCCCATCGCAATACCACAACCCAGCTTTATTATTATTTAGAATAAATTTATAATTTATTGTTCGATTGAAAACAGTACAAAGACAAGATATTTCATGTTCAAACTGATAAATTTAGTATTTTTCTAAATACACACTCATTTGGAACTCGATGCCTGCAGTACGTGTTTGCCGCTGTGTTACATCACCACTTTTTTAACAACACTCAGTAAGCATTTGGGAACTGATGACACTAATTGTTGAAGTTTTGAAAAAAGCAAAATTCTTTCTGATTCTTGCTTTATTTACAATCTCAGTTGCTCAACAGTCTGTGGTCTGTTGTTTTTCATTCTGCACTTCATAATGCACCACTTCAACAGGCCAGTATAGTACGCTGTAGTAACACAGGCAGTATGTGGCTTGGTATAGAGCTAGAGGAATGAGTCCTAAAACCCCAAATTGAGTCGGCATGAAATAAGTTATGTGGTACCGTTAACACAAGTAACTTTAAAGTTTGTTCTACGACATAAATGACATCACTGAATTCCCCTCTGGTGAATTTAGAAGCTTTTACATGTGTCAGAAAAGGGGCTTAATCAGATTACTAAACATCTTCCCACCAGGCTCTCGTCTACCTTTTAGCTTAGTGGTGACGTGAAGTCACGTGAAGTCACGTGACCATGGTGTAGGTCGTTCATAACATTAGCTTCTTACTTCTGGCGGTTGCATATTTGAGAAACGTTCTCACGTTTTGTTCTTTAACAGTTGGTACCATTGGCCCACACGGTTTTCACAGTGTGGTGAACCTCGCCCGTCCTTGCTTGTAAACGACTGAGCCTTTCGAGGATGTCGCTTTCATACCCAATCATCATACTATCTGTTTACCGGTTTACTTGGGTTTAACTTTTTCCCAAAACAAGTTGGGTTTTCTTGTCAAACAAAGGACAGCATTTAGCTCCGTTAAACTTTCCTTTAAAACCCTCAAATTGAAAATTCAATATTACATATTTTACACATTGGTTTTTACTGCATATACATTCAGTGCATTTTTAACTAATGCAATGCATAGATTGATTTCTTTGTCCCACTAAACCACCAGCGCCATTGAGCCATTTTAGTTTATTTCGGGGGTCAGGGAGTTAGCTAGGAGATAGCAGGTCAACAGTAGATGCCAAATAGAAGTGGTGTACATTATCTGAAAATTGTGAACCTGAAGATTTGAGATGCAGCAGTCAATTGTTTCTGTTATAAATCTGTAATAAACATTGTTGTTTGTTCAGATGCTTATTCAAGTGTTGACAATTTAGAGCAGGGGTATTCAATTAAAATTCAGCGAGGTCCATTTAAAGAGAATTTCCTCAGCAAAGGTCCGGAACATCACAGTAATGTTTAACTTCTGCTGTGATTTAGTCCCATGTATATATTGAAGTAGCCAACAGTTGTATTAATCTGCATATGCAGTCAACAACTGACTCTCAAATCAAATAAAGAAAGTTCTATTGAATGATATCTCAACAATATTTATTGTCAGTTTTTAAACTGAACTGGATGAATTATAAATAATACATAATTTTATAATAAATCATTTTTTCCTCTTGTTTCAAGTAAAATAAGGGCTGGATTAAATAATAGATTACATAACGAAAGCTTTTGAAAATGTTCATCTTAAAATAAAGTACTTCATTTTAGAAAAATAAGATTTAACTAAATTGTCCTGCAGATTTATATTAATTTCATTCAGATGTTAAGTGATATCAATAAAAAAAGCTACGATATTATACTATCCTCATCCTTCTAAAAAGAGAAATTAGTGTGCAGGGACTTTATCTGTGGTTATTAAACCAGCTCTATTGCTCTCTGTTGATGGGTCAGGATTCTGATCATATTGGGCTCCTAGATCATTTATTATCTGTGCCTTCATTTCAGATGTGAGATGGTAAGTTTGCTCAAAAGAGTTGTGCTTTGTCTCGTAGTGGCGCTTCACATTACTGCTTTTAATAATCACCACGATCTCTGAACATATGAGACGTACTGGTTTTAAACTGGGCTGAATGAACATATTATAGTCTGTCCATTCTTTGTTAAAGGCTCTGGTTAAGCTGTCCACTTGCTCTTTTTGGAGAACTTCATGTGAAATAACTTCTCTGACTCACGTACTTCTCCGACTGTTGGGTCTCTCGTGCGCGTGTGTAATTGGTCGGTGTGTTTCCTGCACCGCTGAATGAGTGACGTAAAGACTAGAAAAGCTGCGCCGGTTAAAATAGAAGCGCTACGTCAAAATGTAATAATTCTCAATTATCTATCGGTTGAAGGTCCAGGTCCGGATACAAAGGACCAGGACCGTGGTCCGCCTATTAGTGACCCCTGGTTTAGAGTGTATAAGCGCTTAGAACATTATGATGGAGGTATATGATGGCCATTCCCCTGCTCATTTATGTCTCCTGAGTTGTTGTAGCAATTTTGGGGTTGATACTATTCCTTACAGAGATTTGCTGAATGTAACTATTTCTGACCACCTCAGAATTGATAAAAATGATCAAAGGTCCCTCCAAAATACCAAACAAAGGCCTTTATAAGCCAGGGGCGTGACAAATATACAAAAATGCAAATGAACTTTGAAACTATTCACACTGGCAGCGATGCAAATTTGCGACAGGTGCCACATGTTTTCAATAAAAGGTTTGAATATATCGGGGCAAGCAGAGGACCAACTACCAAGACCCTAGTGACCCGCTTGAGGTAAATTAGTGTATAACTTAAACTTTTCCTCTTAGCAAAATGCTCTGAGTGAATTTGCCTTTGGTAAACAATTACACAGTGCATATGTCTAGGGCTTTTATTGTGAAAGGTACGATTGGAAGGAGTGCAACGACTCTGCACTGCCTTTGTCAAAGTCAACAAGGTCTTTGTTTGTACTATGGAGCCTCTGTGTTGTTCTGCAGTCGTGAACAATTTGAACATGTCCAATTTGCACTTTGTGATGGGTTGATGCCTTTATTTGCGGTATGAAAGTTCAGAAAATCTCTTTCTGGAAAAAAGAAACTACACAATTTCAACACGTAGTATTCACGTTCTGTGTAAAAGTACTCATGACAAAGCCTGTTCAAAAAGCTATACTGACGTGCAAATTAATTTCCAGAAAAAAAACCTTGAGGAAAAACATGCTGTCTGGTATCAAAAACATTTGACATTTTTGTGATTTCTTCAAGTATTATTAGAAATGGAGTCGATCATCACACAAATACAACTGGGCTCTTCAGCTCCACAAGAGTATCAGCTTTCCAGTCAAACTGCATGGGTTTGGCTCCAAACTACTCTTCAAACTCATTTTCATTCACATATCTTGAGGTGAGAGTGAATATGACCATGCCACTTATTCCCCTAATACCCTGTACCTGATGCTGTTGGGTAATTAATAAGCTGCATTCTTTGATATTGAAGGCTATGTCAGACTTGACTTAAACATTGCTTTCCTAAGTTTGTTAAATACAATGTAACAAATAAATACAAAGATATAAATGCACCAAATGTTTATTTATTAAAACAATGGAATCCGATGCCAGAGCGGCTTATTGTCACAGACACCAGATCCAGCTAGTTGAGTCGGTATCAGACGGATATCTGATATCTGTATCGGTGCATCTTTGTTTCTGGATCTGCGTCTTCTGAACTGGATCTCAAGGTAACATGTGATTTACTGAATCAGCATTTGAAAATGGAGTTCTAAGCAGACTTTTCAAAGAGAAAATGACAAAATACAAACATCTAGTTGAACCTGCCACCCATATCAATTCTACAGAGGGGAAATGCTGATTAAAAATTTTGAGAGACATATGGGTTGTGCCTGTGTGTGCTTTGTTATATGAGAGTGTGTGTGTCTGTTGAATCATGCTTGGATGTGGTTGATCAGATCAGGCTCCCTCATTAAAAATTCATGTCCTGCCCATTAAAATCGTACAGACTCTCTTCTTCCCCTACCCTCTTACATCACCTTCTTCTATATAAGCAAGTTCGGAGCCTGTTTTCCACCTAGCCTAACAGTTTGAGTGGTCAGTTAGATCATCACACCTCAGCTGAATGAGTGATTGTTAGAGGTTTACTGTTGTATGCCGTAAATATCCAGCAGAGGCAAGTATCCACCCATTTAGCAGGAAATGTGAAATAGTTAAAGTAGTTAGAGTCTTATTGAGGTAAGTCAGCATCATGTCACTGAAGGTGATCGTACTGGTATCACAGTATTGCTGAAGTATGGCTTTATTGTGTTTAGTTGGTGTCTGCAGACACACACAGTGTTGGATGCATTGATCTCCTCTGCCCAGCAGGGGGCAGCAGTAGCCAACCATATATCAGCTTTTCTTTCCAGCGTCACAGTACACAAGCAGGTCCTGTGTACTGCTTCAAGTCCAGCTTTATCCTTTGTAACTACAGTATTAATACAGCGGCGAATTAATGAGCGACTGCTGGGAGTGGACAATATAAGAAAGCAAGAGAAAAAATTATAACTCAAGTAATTGTAAGAGTCATTCTTCAAGCAGAAATGTCAAAATCTGGCTCATTCTAGCTTCTCCAATGTAAAGATCTCAAAAAGAAAATCTTGCAAGCTTGGCTCTCTCAACTTGTGATGGGTACTTTTTATATTTTATAGACCAAACATGCAATTGATTAACCAACACAATTTCCGCCGATGAACAGATAATGAAAATATAAAGTAACCTTCTGACAGAAAACAGACGGGGAATGCTGGTGTTGCACCTTTTGGTTTTGCAAATCGGGTCATTTTTGGCCACAAATGGTGATTTAGCTTTGCTCTTCCATAAAGTTGTTGGACTTAAAGAGACAGATTAAACGATGACGAGATGACATGGCAGCATCACGAATATTTTCTCAGATTTTACAAAGCTTCCTCAAGAGCCACAGAAGACATTTTACTGCAGTTCCCACGTGCTGAGATGCATGAGCAATGGCCAGTAAACTGATCTTTATGTCTCTAATCAGTAGCAGGTGATGTCTGAGGATTAGCAATAAATAGGAATGATGTCCTGTATTGATGCAGAATGTCATCAATCCTCTCACATAATGCGGGGGCAGATTTAAGCTGCGGGGGATGAAGATCAATAAAGCCTTTTATAACCTCAGGTTGTTGCGTTAAGAGTGAAATATGATCGGATCCTCTTTACGACTGCATGTCTCATTACAACACAGCAGTGTTTAGAGTGGTCTCTAGATTAAAGACTGTGCTTTACAATTTAGATTCTTCTTAGTATAAACTGCAGTGTTTTATTGTTTCATTTTAAATTATTCAAACAAACTTTCTTTGGGAAAAAGAATACTTAAAAAAAACAGGTTTAAGGCAAGTTTATTTGTAAAGTTCCTTTTAACAGAAAGTAAAATCAAAGTGCTTTTCATATGACTACAAAGGCATTAAAGCCCATGAAAACATTTTTAATTATTAGTTATATTAATTTAATAAATTGTATTTACTAAATGGGCAACAATCAAAGTCAAACTCTAGTTCTACTGAAGCAATAGTACTTTTTGAAGTATAACAGTCAAATGTTGCTGAATCCTGATTCCATGTCAAACCAGTGAGGAGAGGACAGAGGAAATGACGATGCTCAGGGCCTTCAGGGCCAAACATTTAAAGGAACAGTATGTAGCATTTAAGGGGATTTATTGGCAGAAATGGAATCTAATATTCATAAATATTTTTTCTTTGGTTTATAATCACCCGAAACTAAGTGTTTTTTGTTTCCTGAGAATGAGCCCTTCATATCTACAGAGGGAGCAGGTCCTCTGCACTGAGTCCGTCGTGTTGCACCGTCATGTTTCTACAGTAGCCCAGAACGGACAAACCAAACACTGGCTCTATGAGCCTTTTGGGTTTTTACGTTACCTCAAGGCCACCGTAGTTCTCTACACGCTTGGGTGAGCGGAGGGGTATGCAGTTATAATAATCGGATAGAATCTCAACCTCACCATTAGATGCAGCTAAATCCTACACACTGCTCCTTTTAAGAAGCACAAAGCAAAGACTTAATTGGTTCTTCTGAATGTCTTCGTTGTAGAATCTTACAGTTGTCTCTATGTCCCTGCAGACTGTTCATCCTGGGCTCCTATGACAGAGAAACCTATGTACACTGCACTCTGGAGCTGAGCAGCCACCAGTGGAAGGAGAAGACTCGCAGCTCCATCAAACGGGTGGGTTCTCCTCCCTGTTACCATCCCACTCTACTTCTCTTTACTCCTTTTACCTTCTCTCTGCCTCAACCCAAAATGAAAATACAAATCAGCATTACCATGTTCCACCCCATAAAGGAACCAGATTGAAAGTTTGTTTGAAGATTGGACTGGCTTATGTGTCATTAGAGAGATGTTTAACATTACACATTTCCCCAAAGACCCTATCAGTGTTCACCTGAGGGGGGGGGCACTACACTTCATCAACTGTTATACTGTAAGAGAGCAGTGCATAGCGCACATGCACTAAAAGGCACGCATCCGGCCGACAAAGCAAGGAGAAACACAGAGGGAGCTCAGGTTTAGTCCTCTATACCTTTACATGGATAATAATTGTTTACTGCTATATTAATGCTCTGAATATCAAAACCTTTTCAAACACTCAGAAGTGTAACACAGCCGCTTCCTCTGACACATATTGGACACTTTGTTTTATTGACACATTAATACAAGCTTATTTTCATCATCCTTGCACTGATGAGATTGTCCCATTGTTGACATTTTGAGCGGCACAGAACATTTTCAGGCTCCTCCGGTAAACCTTTTCTAATTGTTGCAATTTAGAGATATTACAGCTATCACATCAGGCTGGTTTGGAAGTGACTAATGACAGTTTTAGAGTGAAATGTCAGCTGTAATCATTGGCTCTGGCTCCAGCAAAGCCTAATGCTGCCGCTATCCTTGCCACACACTTCTGAATGGCATTTGCAATGGCTCAAAGATTTGTATTGTGTTGAACAGTAATTGTTCGGCGCTGTGCTTTCATATCATTTTTAATGACGTTGGAGGAGTTGGATCCTCGTCCAGCAGGGGGCAGTGAAATATCAGGCCTCCCTCTCATTACAAGCACATAAACTCTGTCACTTCTTTCATCCCAAAGCAGCAGTTCATTGTACTTTTACAAAATATGTGCTCTGGGTTTCTGTTTATAGTACTAGAGTTCAGAGTTAACATTTCCTTTGCAAATACAAACTGAAATATTACAAATAAGTTTATGCGTAAAATTGTTGTCAGGAAACATTGGGTCAGGTTCCAAGTGAATCAAATACTACACGAGGATAGTTCGACCTGCAGTCAGCCAGTGCGTTTCTGTAATGTTGGCTCACAGTTTGGTTATTTAGTGTGTAAAAAAAAAAAAAAAAAAAGGGACCTTTTCACACATGAAATATAATAAACATAATATGGATATTGGTTGTCAAGTTTTCTACAGATCGAGTAGTTCTGTGGTATTTTTGGTTCCAGATCCAGTAATCACACGGAGAAGAACTTTACTCTATTCTCCTGAATGTTAGACAGCCCTGATAAGATGTCAAATGAAAGATGACGTTATTTAAGATTGTTTGATTGTTTTTCACTATAAATATCATGTGTCCTATATGGGATGCAATAAAAACATTAGATTCCAGTAGGTTTTACTGCCACTATAGGAGTTTTAAGCATATTTTGATGATTATCAAGATGAAAATGTGAATCACAATTATTTTGGCGAGGATAAATCGTGACATGCTAGACAGAGGTTTCTATTACATGAACGCTCTGTAATAACAGGACACTTGCCGAAAACCTGATATTTGACAATTCCTGGAGTGGTGAGTTGAAGTGAGAGCAATGTTGTGGAGGAAGACGATTGTTTTCTGTTTCTCACAAGTTGCATCTTTGATAGATTTCCATTGAATTGTTTGTTGGCCGTCATGAACAAGGCAGACATTCAACCTAGCTTCTCAATCATCAATTTAATCATACATTAGTTTATTGTTAAGTTGTTTATGTAACATTTGAAAAGCATTTTGGGGCGTGTTATGCCTTTATTTGATGGTGATGGTAGATAGAGACATGACTGTCCAGCGTCTTAATCCCTGAGAAACGAGGGCGCTCAATGAAATGTGTCTGTCAATATTGTAGCATGTGAAGGAGAGCGTACCCGGCATGCCGTTCAACAGTGTAAGAATAAATGTTGTAGCTAGCAATAATATTTCTCCAGAACTGAGCACATGGTCGGTAAAGGTGCAGCCAGCATCCAGTAAGTAATGAATATGTGAACCGTTCCTCCCCAACACTCGACCAATACAGACATCAGCACAGCCCTTTCCAAGTGGACCCACTTCAAAGCACTTGTATCCCTTTTTTGTTAATATAGGCATAGAAATGCAAATTCACAGTGGCATTTGAGCCTGCTTTATCAGACTTCTCCAGTCTGCGTGTCCCCTGCAGGACTCTGTAGTACAGATTAAAGGCTATACCATCTGGAAAAGGTCAATTCACCATCTCTCTGGCTCTCTCCCTTTTTCCCCTGATGATTGCCAGATATGAGCTTCCCTTGCTTGTCTTATGAATACAACCGCTTGTCTCGTGTATGCTAATGGTTTTCTTTCCATTTCCATATCCCCTCAATTTAAGCACCGAGAGCCACATACTCCTGCTTTTCACTGTACCATGTGTCTGTCTTCCCAAGGGGTGAGCCACTCTTATCAGGAACTGTGTTCAGCATGTTTTTAGCTGGTTTAATGTCTCTATCTTCCAAAAAGGTTACACAGTTATTTTATTGTCATTGTACAGCAGTATTGCACAACAAATTGCAGATTTTACAACATGAAAAAAACACATAAAAAACCCAAGAAACAACTATATTATATATGGAGAGTGGCGGATGGGGTCTGTTTTATGAGGAAGTCTAATAACCAGCTGCAGAGTGAGGTACTCCGTCCCAGAGTGTCAAATTTTCCAATCGGTTTCACTTCCACTCCAAACACTGTACAGTGTAGTTTACTGTGCTTTGACTCAGAAGACTAGAACGGTGCAATATAAATGCAATTCCATGTATATTCCTCCAGATTGATGTCTTTCTCCTGGGTGGCGGCATCCCTGAACATGTCTGTACATTCGAAGCAGTCCTGAAGAACAGCTGGGGCTTCACTCTTAGACCAGAGTTTCTTCTGATGGTTTAGCCCGTTTAATTAGCTGGGACTATGTAGGCAGCAGCAACAGGGAAATATGATCCGATTGTCCAAAGTGGGGGCGGGGGAGGGCTTTGTAGCTGCCGGGAATATACGTTTAAACATGGTCCTGTATATTATTTCCTCTGGTGGAGATGCCGTCACCCATCGCTGTTAACTTTCTGGTTCCACACTGAATAGAAAGTCACAGTACTAGTTTTGAATGGGCCCGAGAGACACAGACTTTAAACATCAATGTTTACTGGAGCATTCATTTATTTCGTCAAAGCCTGCATCCTCAAACAGGTTGTGCTTATTCTCTGACGCTCACAAACACTTGCCCTCAAAGAGTGCTTTCTTACGCTGTGACAATAGTGTGTGCCGAGTCAAATCCCTTGTCGCCAATATAGACGCATGACAGGCGTGCTTAGAAGTGAGAACAGCAGCATGTGCAGGCGTTCCCAAGAGCCTATTTTTCAGGAAGCAATGCTTGTGCCCCAAGATAGAAATAGTTCAAGTTCTTGAACGCTGCAGCATGCACCGCACGTCATGTGACGAGGAACAACCAACACAGCCGGCAGATATCGTTCTTCTTCTGTAAATATCACTCTCACACCGCAACCCCCCAAGCAACTTGGATGAAAGTAGTGTTTTTTGTTTAGTTTTTGAGATGCAACATGTGAATGGCCTTATTTTAGTCATATAGTGGCTAGCTAGCTAGCTAACTGTAGCATACATTCATGCTACAGTTACTGAACATAAAAAGCCCTTGTTGCTGTGCTTGGTCTACGATATACAGTGGGTATGGAAAGTATTCAGACCCCTTTAAATGTTTCACTCTTTGTTTCATTGCAGCCATTTGCTAAAATCAAAAAAGTTCATTTTATTTCTCATTAATGTACACTCAGCACCCCATCTTGACAGAAAAAA